AGATTTCTTATGTTTAAAAATACCAGTAAGGCCTATATGTAGAGTGCGCCTGGGAAGGCACATGGGCATTTCTTTAATTATTGTCAGCTGAATCCAGTGGCGTTGGCAGAGCCACATCCTGGAAACACGCCTTGCCAGAGGCAGGAGTGTTGTCAGCTTGACCTTCAGCCCAGGTGCCAGGGGGTGGGTTTCATTATCCAAATCCAGCCAAACACCAGGAATGAATACCACTCAGGCCCACACAGGCCCATCTGTATTTTTGGCTCTTCCTATTTCTCCACTCAGTTGCTCAAGGACAGGTCCATGCCTAATTCAAAATCTGTATTCTTAGTTTCTAAAAGTCAGAATACAGTTCAATAGACATGGGTTAATAAATAAATAGCTGCTTCCATTTTCCTTAAAAAGCCATGCTTCAACCTACCCTCAGCCCTGAAAGACCTTAGCTTTGTTCTTTGTGATGCCTTGCAGGTTTGTGTATGTGTGGGATACAACAAGCAGGAGGATTTTGTATAAGCTTCCGGGCCACGCTGGCTCCATCAATGAAGTGGCTTTCCACCCTGACGAGCCCATCAGTAAGTCTATCCTGACTCTGGGGAAAAGGAAACTATGGGAATCTCCCAAAAGGAGCCCTGAGAATACAGAGGCAAAGTTGGATGTCTGTTTTCTGTGAATGTCCATGCAAACATTCTTTGTGGGTATCAATAATAGTCACCACTGTTTTAAGTGGTGAGGGCAAGAGCAATGTTTCACTTTATAACTTAACCCACATTTTATTGGCTAGCCAATCATTTTGTAAATAATTGGCCTTTAATTTAAGGAGAAAATGTAACTTTCTCTGGGGCTAAGCTCATTTACAAAATGGAAGCACCAGCATTGATTTTTCTGTTCTAGAATGACTGAGGAAGTCTTTTTCTTAGGGCTTTACTGACAAGAGACATGGAGACTTAGAGCCTGGTAATGTATTTCCCATAGCACAGTCCACCCTCATGATTTCGAGAGGATGTGGATTGAAAAGCAGGCTGCAGTTTCCTGTGAATGGTGTTTAGGAGGCGGAGGGTTTAAGCTAAATCCAATTGCTCTTTTATACCAAAATTGGCTCTTGAAATAAGAGCCCTTGAGCACCAAGTCTCCTTGAGCCTTCATCATTTCCAGTTATTCTCTATTCTTTCACCTCAGTTCTCTCAGCATCCAGTGACAAGAGACTGTATATGGGGGAGATCCAGTGAAGATCAGAAATGGAAGACTCCAGGGCTGCCTGACCTCAGACTGCGTCCGTGGCATCAAGTGGTGCCCAAGCCAGCATCCTCCCTTCAGACGAAGATCTAGAAACCCGTAGGAGGTGGCCGTATTCCAACAACCACATGCATCTCGTTTCACCAGGACGGATGGTTAAAGCAAGCTTACAGCGGCCTCTAAAAACCACCTGCCACATTTCAGGGACTGTTTGGTTTTTTCTTCTTTACTTTTTATTTCTTCAAAGGGGCAGACATTGGTTGGTTTGTAGCTTCCTGTTTTCTCATCCAGATTGAAGACAGGGATGTGACTGAAATCTGCTTATTGGGGGTTTATTTTAATTATTGGCTTGTATATTTTATTTCTGTGTTTCTCTGAGTCATTTTGTATTAAAAGCCAAATAGATGCCTTTTTACAAGAGCCACGTAGATTGAATTTATTGCTGTCTTTTCTTTGCTACTTGACCTGAGCAGTAAATCTGAGCAGGACATGATGTGGACAGGTGACATTCCAGTTAAACTTGAGGAAGCCGTTTACTGGGATGTTTTGGGCTTTTCCCCCTTTTATGTGTTTTTTGGTTTATCATACTCATTCCCATGTAAATAACAGAATATCAGTAACAAGTACTGCTCTCCTATTAGGAACATAGCATCCAACTCAACTCAAAAGGAATATGAGAAAGTGATAGTGTAACTGGGTCATGACATTGAGACTTATGATTCTACCTATTGTCTCTTTTCCCTAAATTGATAGTGCTAGGTCCGGCCCTAGCTGGTTTGGCTGAGTGGATAGAGCGTCAGCCTGGGGACTGAAGGGTCCCAGGTTCGATTCCGATCAAGGGCACATGCCTGGGTTGTGAGCCTGATCCCCAGTGGGGGACGTGCAGGAGGCAACCAATCAGTGGTTCTCTCTCATCATTGACGTTTCTATCTCTCCCTCTCCCTTCCCTTCTGAAATCAATAAAGATATATGTTTTTAAAAGAAAGAAAGAAATGCTAGGTCTGGCCTTAGCTGGTTTGGCTTAGTGACTAGAGTGTTGGCCTGCGGATAAAGGGGTCCCGGGTTCAATTCCGGTCAAGGACATGGACCTTTATTGCAGGCTCCTCCCCGGCCTGGTAAGGGCTGGTGCAGGAGGCAACAAGTTGATGTGTTTCTCTCACATCTGTGTTTCTCTCTGTCTTTCCCTCTCTCTTGTACTCTCCCTAAAAGTCAGTGGAAAAATTATCCTCGGGTGTGGATTTACAAAAACAATAACATAAAAATGCTAGATCCAGTTGGCGTAGCTCAGTGGTTGATGTCACAATTCGATTCCCAGTCAGGGCACATGCCCAGGTTGCAAGCTAGATCTCCAGTGTAGAGCATGCAGGAGTCAGCTGATCAATGATTCTCTCATTAATGTTTCTATCTCCTTTCATCTCTGAAATCAGTAAGAATATATATATATTTTTTAAAGAAATACTAGTAGTTGTCACCTACCCCCAAGACAGGTTACTGTCTTCCTAGATCATTTATGATTGCCGAGCACCCAAACCAGCACTCATGGATTCCATCTAACATGGGAAAGTGAAGTGTATCTTTTCTGAACCTCATATTTTACACAGATCTTCACGCCTCCAACCTATTCTAACATGTTTGGTTTTATACTTTAGTTCACAAACCTGAGTCATCTGTGTATCTTAAAGGAGAGAGGGGATGGTTTTAAGTGAGCACACGTGCAATATTTAACTCATTAATGAAGGAACCAGCAGGATGGTAAAGCTATCAAGTCAATTTCTTTTAATACAGTGAATGAAATTTTAATAAAGACCACCGGAAACAGCAATTTATTGTACCTGGGAGAGTTAAGGAAGTTTAACACATTATGTGATTATGGTTAGATTGGCATTTTAAAAATGAGTGGGGCTTTTGCTAGGTGGACCAAGAACATATGTGTTGAACTTCAACGCTGTTATAGGTGGGGAACAGCAGGTAATAACCAAATCCTGGAGAGCTTGTACTTCATGAACCTGATCCTATAGGTTGAGGTTTCCTAAAGTATATTCCACAGAACACTGTTTCCCAAGTTCGTTAGAAACATTGGGCATAAAGATCCCAGGCTCAAGTACATTTGAAAAAGCCTGGGTTAAATAAAACGAAACCTTTGTTTTTAACTGCAGGACTGCTTAGCAGTGGTTCTCAATTTGTGGGTAGAGAACCCTTTGGCGGTCGAACGACCCTTTCACAGGAGTCGCCTAAGACCATCCTGCATATCAGATATTTACATTACGATTCATAACAGCAGCAACATGACAGTTATGAAGTAGCAACGAAAATAATTTTATGGTTGGGTCACAACATGAGGAACTGTATTTAAAGGGCCAGGAGGTTGAGAACCACTGGCTTAGAGCCTTTAGTGTACAAATTATAATGCGATCTTCAAAGGGAATGATGACTCATTTCAGGCCTGAGCAATAATTATATATATGGTTATGCCTTTAACCAGGAGAGGTTTGGCTGAAGATGTTTTGCAAGCTGCTCTTCACACCTCTCCCACTGTCACAGGTTCCCCCTAATCCCTTTTTTAAGTCCACAGGCCTCATAATTAGTCCAGTGCCATCCGCTCACCCATCTTTCTTGGCTTGGGGTAAACTAAGGCTTCAACCTTGACATTGCACTTTTAAAAGCCTAGTAATCCCTTGAGAAGTTGGCAGTGATTGGGTAGAACGAGGGCCCTGGAGACTGCAAGGGCTTTCCTCTAACCTTAGCCTCTTCCTCCTGCCAAGTGCCTTCAAAGGCTGGGTAGAGGCTATGAGTAGGAAAGAGCAGCACCACTTAGAATTTGAAGGAAATAGAGGCCCTCGCCTGGGGAATAAAGATTTGAGTATAAAACATCCCCGGAGAGTGCAAATTGTATTCTCACTTTGGGAGAGAGAGATTGCTCCCGAATGAGTAATGGCATCTCTGGTTTTCAGTTAATTTCCCTTTATGATTTCCACGGTCTTTAACACTTAATACTGTTGGCACTTAAAAGAGCCAGATTTTTTTCCCCCACTGGGTGGTTGAGTTTTGTAGACTGAATTGTCAGGGAGGTGGATTTGGACAGGTCAGGGCTCTTGTCAGAGTGAACCTGCAAAGTTATTTGTTCTCACAGATAGACGAGAGTCTGCTGCTTGTTAATATCTCAAGGTGTGTGGCTGGGAACCTGAGGTGTGAGAGCTCTGGGCAATTGGGGGCAGCAGGCAGTTAAGCCTGAGGGAAAAGCTGTCAGGCCATCTGAGTTAGGACAGGATTGCTCCTTCCAAGGGATTTTAGGGCTTGACAGCTGTGTCCCAGAACAGAGGGAGGGGCCAGGCTTACAGCCTCTTCCTGTGGGACCAAATGAAGCCAAATTTGGTCAACTGTCTCCGTACCCCAGACCCATAATGATCTCTCTCCAAAAAAGCTCTGAGTGGGCGCCCACCCTCTGCATGAATCCCTGAGCTATCCCAACTCGCCTCCTTCTAGGCTTGAACTCCTTTTTCTCGCCTGCCTCTGAAACCCACCTAGATTCTTAGATTCCTCTTTAACTTGTGTCCTCTAGAGCAGGAGATCTTAACTGGGCAATTTTGCCTTCCAAGGGACATTTGTTAGTACCTGGAGACCTGTTTGGTTGTCACCACTGGAGAGATGCTATGCACATCTATGGGTAGAGGCCAAAGGTGCTCAAAGAATTGGGTGCTCCCAAATGTCGCAGTGGTGCTGTCGAGAACCATGATTCTCAAGGTGTGGTCTCTGGAACAGCAGCATCAGCGTCACCTGGGAACCTGATAGGAATGCAAATTTTAGAGGCCCACCTGAGACCTGCTGAATCAGAAACTTCGGGGAAAGGAAGTATTCAGCCACCTTTTAACAAGTCCCCCAGGTGATTTTGATGCAAGTTTGAGAACCACTGCTCTTCAAACTCAAAAATGTTTTATCTTTCCTAGGAGAGCCACAGAGGCTTCTCATGTTTACTAGTTGTCCTTGCCCAACCAGCATGGGTCAGGGGTTGAGTGTCGACCTATGAACCAAGAGGTCACTGTTCGATTCCCGTCAGGGCACATGCCCAAGTTGTAAGCTTGATCCCCAGTGGGGGCGTGCAAGAGGCAGCCGTTCAATGATTCTCTCTCATCATTGATGTTTCTATCTCTCCCTCTCTCTTCCTCTCTGAAATCAATAAAAATACACATTTTTTTAAATAGTTGTCCTTAACTAGCTGTTCTTTCTGGCTCCATGTTTTATGCATTATCTCACTTGATTGTCACATACGGGTCAACAGGTTCAAAGAGAGGTAACACTCCAACCAACTTGGAAACGGCAAAGCCAGGAAGTAAATCCAACTAGAGCTCTTACCCCATCATCATGATGTTGGCCTTAGAATGCACATAGAATCACCTATGTAGCCTTTAAAAATCCAGATGCTTAGATCATTCCCCAGGCCCATTAAATCAGAGTCCCTGGGGTGAAAATCAGTATATTTTAAAGCTTCCTTAAGTGATTGCGATGTGCAATCAAGGTTAAGGACACTGGTGTTAGCCAATGCTATGACTACAGCCAAGAGGGCAGTATAAAGCTCAGTTAACTTCCCCTGCCACCCTCTGGCTCCCAGGGAAAACACTATCACATGTCCTATGGATTTTAAGAACGCTTCTCCCAAAGCCCATGGCTCAGCTGAAACGTAGGAGCTTGACCAGAGAGCAGAGGCCAATTCACTGTGATCATCTCTGCCTGGTGAGACTGTGGGGTTTGGTGTAGAAAAGGCCACTGACCTGCCTTCAATGCCCTGAGTATAGCATCCAAGGTGCTAGGGCTGGGAAGGACCTTAGGTCGTCCAGTCCAACCTCTTTTATGGAAGGGGAGCCTGAGCATACATACAGTTTCCCAAGGTTAGTGGTTTTGCCTATTCAGGGAGCATTTATTCAACATTCCTCTGTGGCAGGCCATGCCTGGCTCTGAGAATACAGAAATGACAGTCCTCCCCTCTTTGGGGCAGAATGGGGCAGAACGGTGGGAGAAAAACAAAAATGTGGGCTTCTCAAGCTTCTCCATGAAGTAAGTGTTCTTACTGGCCAGAGAGAATGAACGGGAGCAGAAAGAGGGACTCCTGAAATTATTTTTGAAATTGTAGCATGAATTTGTAAAATGTATGATTTACCCCCCAGCCCCTCAAAAAACATTTTATTTTGAAAATTTTCAAACGTAACTATACAGTTGTAGAGAGCGCCTGGGAAGGCACATGAGCATTTCTTTAATTATTGGCAGCTGAATCCAGTGGCGTTGGCAGAGCCACATCCTGGAAACACGCCTTGCCAGAGGCAGGAGTGTAGTCAGCTTGACCTTCAGCCCAGGTGCCAGGGGGTGGGTTTTGTTACCTAAATCCAGCCAAACACCAGGAATGAATACGACTCGGCCCACCCAAGAAT